ACACACTCAATGTTAAACTATTCAACAATATCGAACAACTAAAATGGTTAAAGAATAAAGTAAAAAAAAAACATGAAGCCCTTTCTAAACGAAGTAAAATAAGCGACGGTAACACTTAAACAAATGTAAACAAAATTAACAAGGGCATTAAGAAAAGAGAACTATGTCGTTAAGGTCCCTAGCAATTGTGGCCGACGTGTAACACACAGCGAAGGAAAAGGGCGATGAATAAAACACACGTTAATAGGTGTACGTCTAAGAACACAAAGCGCCCACATTAGCGCCTAACAAATAAGGTGCCTCTGATGGATAAGATTACGTCTCTCCTCTTTCGCCGTTTACATTTTCTACGCCAGTATTTAAGAGAAAGCTATATCTGACAAAGTGGATAAAATATATTTCGGCTGCACTTAGATGTGGCCGAGAGAGCAGCATGTCGGTTCCCACGCGGACGCCTATCTCCTGTTACGCCTAAAAAGAATCCCATTTTTTCACAGAATTAAACGAGCGATAAAATTCTTGCGACGTCACATGAAAATGTGCGTTACCTGACGTGCATATTTATGCGTGCCCCCAGTAATGACGTTTGTCGAGCGTCCACCTTAGTATGCTTTCATTACTACTTAGCCTAGTGAACGTGAAAGCAATCCCTACTTTAAAAATATAATCGGTGAATTTTTTTTCTGATCGTATCGCAACAGGATTCTATTTTTCGATAGAGTGAGATAAAACTGTGTCAATTAAAAAAATGCTACGTAACGTTGTTGGCACACTAATTTTTATCTAGGGTGATTAGGGTCTCGTTAAATCTTACTTGTGGAAGTGTACCTCACAGATTTCTCTTTCCGATCCATGTATCGTCTATGAGAGCGTCTCGTTCTTGCAATGGTATTTTCACAAGCTTACGCTAAGAATATGGGCACGTAAGTCGTCACTAAACATTAACTCTGGGTTAAGTGTGCAATATCATTTATCTTAGCTGCGACGGTGAATATTCTTCTTAATTTAATTCAAGTGAGTAGGAGCGCACGTGGATGAGGCGTGGCGCGAGCTACCGAGTTGCGAGCCGCAAGTCGCGCGTTGCACATAGAATATTTCAGGGGGAAATGGTTCAGAATATACTCGCAATAGCTCGCCCCTAATCTTGAGCCAAGTCGAGTGTTGCACCTGCAGCCAAATCCGTTCCAATTAGGAGGAGTTAGAGTGGGCGTTGCTGACTGAACAGCAAATGATGCGGTCCTCACTTAACGCTGCCGCCCGGGGCGACACTTACATGTCGTCTACACGTAAATAAATTCAGTTACCGCTTGCACTGAGTGCACGTCATTAAACTTTCTTGTCCTTAACTCAACCTCGACGTGTGACGTTTGTTAATTATCAGAATTTAACATGTTGATCGAATTGCAGGAGAATATTATACGAATATAATGTTCTCTTGTTAACTTCAGTACTGTTTGATGCTGGATTGTAAGCCTATCAGATATTGAATACAAATGACGCTTATTTGACGCAATTCAATTTATATATGATGTGGAATAGACTTTATAATCTGATGTACGTGTCATAGCTATCAAAATAATTTTAATATGCATGTTTGGTTAAAACTCGTGTTCATGTACTTTGTAGTATAAATTATCGAACAGTAAAACGATACAATGAAAATTATTTTAAGGCAAGTTACGGCAATGACTTAAAGATACACAAAAGGTCGATAAAACTGTTTGCTTGATACAAAATTTAACGTAATCGACTCAACGGTGAGTTCGTCGTACAGAGTACATAAAGTGAACATGCTCTTTTGCTACCAGTAGTGATATCCCACTAATGTGCTTTCGCCTACAATCTTTTCTTGCGATGACACGCCAAAACGTAATTTTAGCGTAACTGAATTTGTATTCTATACTCTAAAGACTAAAGTACAATTTAGTCTATATCATGATTTTGTAGTTAAGATAATTCGAATTTAAGGTCGGTGATGTCAATCTTTATCGTAAGGGAAGTTGTAGGAAGGGGGAGGTCGGAACCGGCTAGGGTGCGCCGCTGCGTCGATTGTAATCACGCAAATGGTTCCATATCGAAATGTCACATTTGTATCGATGTTATTTTGAAGTTTTGCGCAGGAGTACTATACTTTTTGGAGTTTTTATACAGTTTATGTTGTACAACATGATTTGGTGGCTGGTTTTTTATGGTGTAGGGGCAGTAAATCAAACGAGTCTTATGATGGTTAGTGACTACCGCCCGTTCACACCTTCAACTAAAGATGATTGTGATTCCTTTCTCCAAAATTAGGGGAGGGACGACTTGGATTACTCGGTGAAAAGCAATGAAAAACTTCTTAAGATCGATTTTCTGTGAAGTGGTTTAGCACATTAAATTTGCAGGTATTAAATATTCTTATTTTTAAACACAGTTTATCGTTAAAAATTAGTAGTATTAGGAATAAGCTCAGGCTCCGCTACTGTTGCTAGTTCGAGTTTCAGATATGCAATTCTAACTTTCTGGAACTATATCACACACTACCCAATTTATCCACAAAAGTAATATTTTTTACCATCCCTTTCTCCTCTTACCTTCTCTGCTTATCTAACCTTTTAATTACTACTAATTTTAACATTTTCATTTCTCTTCAATACGTGATTAGAACAAAATTGTAGTTGGCTAAATGTAGGTGTTTTATACGTGTTTGTTCTGTATGAGGGTTGACTTCTGGGATAAAAGCGTGGGTGTATGCATGTCTGTATATAATATTATAAAGAGTTATAAGTTTTGACCAGGGCTTTCTATTTGTTGTTTATCGTGAAGTTTCAAATATTGTAGCATCAAAGAACCCCGAGATTTCCTAACACAGACTAAGTCTTTCATAACGATGAAATGACTGTATTTATATATTTATGAACACAACATTGTCACATCGCTATTGTAGAGAAACCAAGTAAATTACTATTATTATATTAATATAATAATAGTAATTTAATTTATTTTTAATTTATTTAATTTTAGTATTTATTTTAATAATAATAGTAATTTTAATTTATTTATTTATAATATTAATATTATTATTATACTGTTTAGATAAGAAGTCCGTCACATTTTATAAATTCAATTACAAATAAAATAACATTGCGGATGTACAAAAGGCGTCGTTTCAAAAAGCAATTATCGTTAAACGTTTACGAAACAATAAAAAAATCACGAGGTCACGTATTAAACAGTCTTTTTGGAGAGTTTGGTTTTATTTTTCTATCGACGCAGGCTGCCGGCTAGCCACTGAGTGCGATCGCCTCCATTAAAATAACTCGTTAAAATTTATCATCGACCCGCTTAATCGCTTTAGCGCCACCATCTGCGATTTTATGATTTTTCTGCTTGCTCTGTATACTTTCGTGGTCATTTTACAACGTTTACAAAATTGCTTGCATGAGGTGGTTAAAAGCTTTCTAACAACATTTTACGTCTTCTTTGTAAGAGTAGTGATATTTTTGTGACAGCTCTCTTTATTATTTACATACGACGACACGAACTTCAAACCCTCAAGAAAAGAGCGTACTACTTCCTAAAAGGCCGGCCTCGCGTTTGTGACTCCTGAGTTGCAGACGTTCATGGACGGCGATGGTCACTTTCCATCAGGTGATCCGTCTGCTCGTCTGTCCCCTCTAACTTTTTGAATTATCTTATTATGAACCTAATTTGATGAAATAATGAAGGATTTTCTGCAGTCCTGGTGTTTCGTAGCGCACTCAGAAGATAATTAAATAATTAAGAATGTATGAATGACGCTATAAAGCGGTTTCCCTGATATTGTAATAATGCAGTCCTCTTGGGTGAAATCTTTTAAATTATTCTCTCACGCTTTTGCTTCGTAATTACGCGGACGTGGATGCCTACTGACTACGTCTATTACAAGGTGTAGGGATAAAAACTGTACCTATCATTTAAAAATATAAAGAATACAAAAATTATAGTTTTAAAAAACTAGAAAACACGCTTTCTATACAAAACCAAACTAAAAAATAGAAAATAAATTTGAAAAAAAGCGTGGGGTGCTTTTTACTATTGACAACAGGCACTTGGTTTGGTTTCCTATAGAAAGCGATATTCGATATATCTACAAAGTTTGAACGAATTCTGACTATTTAAAGTCAGTCAAAATCACGCCCGAAGGAGTCGGTTACAAACAAACATACAAGTGAAGCAAATATAAAGCGTGTAAAAAACGGCGTGAGTGGTCTATAGACGGAATGAAATTCCACAAGAAGTATCGGTAAAAAGTCTTGTTACACATTTTTCGGTCTCGCTCCCATACGCTCAGAGCGTGTAACGAGCGATAAGGAACTTCTTTCAAATTATATAATTTTTAAAAACAATAAACATAACATAATTGGTATGAATATTGCTAATTACAAACCTTGTAATATGTATCTCATTAGTTGATAGAAATTGTCTGATGAACGCGTGAAATTTTGTGTGAATTTATCTTCATTCCACACTTTTTAAAAGTAAGACTTGCACTAAAAAAATCCTACAGCGTTTTTGCAGAATGTAGAAAACGTTCGACAAAACGGTTAGCACGAGTGGAAATGAAACATTTTACCTCTAAAATGTCAAAGGTAGCTTCTTTGGGTTTATATTTTGCGTTTATAGCGGTCAACGGCGCGTCGAGATACGAGTAAAAAGACCTGCAGCGACCGCTCGCTGCCGGGAGAAAATCTGAGGGCTTAAACAGTGCCACGTATGAAATAGTAGAGCTCGGTTACATGAAAAAGACGAGAGGCGAAATCGAGTGACAGGACCACGGCGCAGGATTTTTAGTCCGATGGTTTTTTGCAGTCTGGATTTTAGAACTGGACATTACAGCCACAGAGGCGATGCGAATTTATCGTGTGGTCCATGATTAGTTGGCCTCGACGCGTCTCTCTGAATTTTTACATGTTCAAGCCAATCAGGTCTAAAAATAAAATGTATTTGATTTAAATTAAATCTTGTGTTTTCAATTTCAGATTGACCCTAAAGTGGCCTTCCCAAGGAGAGCACATCCAAAGGTAAGATTTTGAAAATGTTTCATTATGTTGCGTATAGACGTAAATTGAAAATTAAATCCTTATAATAAACTCATTCTGACATTGTATTGCCACAAAACGGCGAAACAGCGTAGTGAAGTTACGACATATCGTGACTGTAAAACAACCGGTTCAACGCGGCTTGTTTATTTTCAAACATTTACACAAAATATTATTTTAGGCTGGACATAATTCTCGCTCGCTATTAAGATGTTGGTCCACGATGCATAAATAACTAAGGGCTAATAATTTAGTATGCGGGCGGTGGTGTCGGGGTCGTCCGTTACCTAGATAGTCCTGTGATTGAATCCCCTAACAGTCTATTTAGTCCATTTCCTTTTTCTCCCCATTTGCGTGAGCACGTTTATTTAATCTTCTATACAAATAGTGTTTATATTAATAATATAATCAGTCATAATAATACATTTTATGTTTCTGTAAATATTTAATTTATAAATTTCAGTAAATAATTACTGTATGGCATAATGATGTGAAGGAAATTCAAAATTCGTTGGATTTTTCATTGCGTTCTGATATATTAAAGTATATTATAAGGATCAGAACGTAAAAAAAATCCTCTCAAATTAAAAACGACACTAAAAGAACAAATATTTTCTTTTTAAAATACTGAAAATTTTCACTCTTGTAATGCGTTAGTAATCTCCTCTGGTATTTCATTATTTGACTGGTAAAAATAAAACTTAAATATTCCTATGCTGTAATAACAAATTTGTGACTATTTGAAAATCGTTAAAAAAAAGTTAAGAAAATGGTCTAGTTGCAGTTTCTAATATTCTAATATGAACTTGCCTGTGACTACCACTTAGGTCAATACAAAGAATTCAGTATTGAGCAAAATTAGACACATTAATTTCACTCACTCACTCAGCTCTAAGCTTTATGTTTATAATTTAACGTAACCTGAGGAAAACTACTCTTTATTAAAATATTAAGTTTTGTACTAATATTAGGGGTTAAAGTTTAAATTGCCGATTTGTACTGAAAAATTGTAACTCGTTTTTTTCTAACATGTAACATATTTATTTAATAAAAATATTTACCCTCATTATCTATACATTACTGCCATCTAAGCGGAAGTTCATTTATGCCTTTACGATAGAACTAGGGGGGACCTAGATTTGACAAACTGTGAAAGCATTTTGTACTGCCTTATGGGAGGATTTTTTTTTCACTTAGAAAATTGTCCAAATCACGAAGAAAGTGGTAGTCCGTTGAGCGAGGTCTGGCGAGTACGGAAGATGATGTATGGTTTCTAATTGCATCTCCTGTAGAGTGACACCGGTTGCTTGTGCATTGTGAGTTCTTGAGTTATCATTCAACAATAATGGTGAAGATTGATTCACGAGTCGGGGCTGTTTCACTGCCAGTTTCGTCATCGTCGTCCGAAGTTCGGCACAGTAAACATTTGCTGTTATTGCCTGACCAGACTTAAGAAAGCCATCGTGAATAACACCATGAAGAGACCACCTAACAGTTACCATTACCTTTTTATTAGCTTTGATTTAGAGCACTGTTGCGGCGTTTGATCTGGGGTCAGCCATTGCATTTTTCGCTTACGGTTATCGTAAACAATCCACTTTTCGTCACATGTCACAAATCGACCCAATATTCCAGATTAAAGAATTACAGATTCAACAAGGCAACACAAGTTTCAACACGCATTTTTGTCAGCAAAATTAATAAATTTTCCATAAAAATTTCAATACCAATATTTCTATTTGTAAAACAGACTATTAGATAAATTCAGAAAGAATTAGATGATCATGAAAAACACATTTAATGTCACGAATAAGGAATCCTGTACCTATCGAATATCGACGGGCCTGTTTGTCTAGTGGTTAGTGACCCTGACTGCTAAGCCGGAAGTCGTGGGTTCGACTCCCACCCAAGACAAATAATTGTGTAATGAGCACGATGATTTGTTTTGTGTCTGGATATAATTTATCTATGATATGTATGTATTTAGAAATATTTAAGAATATTTATCAGTAGTCTGATTACCATAGCACAGGCTCTGCCTAGTTTGAAATCAGACGGCCGTGTGTGTGATGTGTGAAGTTATTATTATTACATTATATATTATTATAGTTTCAACACATTTCTTTCTGCAGATCAGTCAAACCATGAAGCACCTATTTTTCATATTATTGATTTGATGCAAATGAGTTAATCTTTTAGGTAGGGTAACTTTAAACCATGCCGGTAATTCCTGGATAGTTTGACTCAGATCGGCTACCACCATCTCCTTCAATTCAATGTTTTTCACGTGTGTGGGCGGTCTTCCACTTGCTTCATTCTTCAAGTAGAAGGATCCATTACGCGTATTAAATCATTTTAACTAAAAACTCACGGTGCGTTCATTAGCAGTCTCCTCTGAAAACGCAGCGTCGATACTGCGAGCTGTTTCCGGCGCGTTAGTTTAGCGTCGGAACTCGTATTCAAAAATGACTCCAATTTTCGAAGTATCCTTATTTCACGTCTTACTGAATAAGAAAAAACATATTTTTTTAAAGTAGAACCTAGAAAGTAGGTATTATGTGAAAAAAGTTTCACACGAAAATCTCACACCATGAAGGTTTTATGTCAATTCAAAGTATCTATTACTATACAACGGCAATTTTCTACTTTAATCCCTATTATTCGATATTAGGATTTATCGCAATTATCGTTAGAACAGTAATTTTTAGCTACTTGGTTATTTCTGTGTATTTGCACGTCATAACAGTATAGTATAGATTACAATTACAAATTCAGCTGACATTTAAAATAACTCTTTACAATTCTTCGCCCAGCTAACGGGAAAAAATCGCGCTATTTTACAAATTTTTGGGTAACATAAAATATTGAGCTCACAATAGTAAACACTAGTTCTGCTGCTCCGGCAAGTGTAAGTTATCATTAGTGGGTGCAAGCCGCATTTAATGTAAATTGGCGTCAAGCTCGCCGCTCGCCCCGGCCGCATCCCAACGTTTTTACATTCAAGTATCAGGATACTTGAGGCTTTATTTGACCCCGCACAGAATAGACGGTAAGCTCTTGCTTTTGTGTTTGCACTGCTGAATACTAGAGTGTAGTCAATTGATAATTTCCACCCGTACTAAACCCACGCGAGAGAGTTTCGTGAGGTGAAAATGAGAAAGTTGACGGTGTTGTTTTGTATTAACATTTATAAAACTTGAATATCTCGAGGTTTTTCGCAAAAACTGACGTTTTTTAAAGAAATTAAAAAGAAGCGACTACTTTGTATGTAGTAGTCAGCTTTTAACAAAATAATCATAATATATAATTATGTTTACATGTTTATTAGGCCAGTGCAAACTGATCGAAATATCAGGCAATTAAAAAATGGATGTACTTAATATCTATCGTGAGTGTGTTAATTCCCGTAAACATAATTAAATATCAAAGAAAGTAAAATAATCACAAGTATTATTATATATTATTAATATAATTTTAAAAAATTCGCCGTTAGTATCGGCACGCTACTTCCTCCTTTTAATATGGACATCAAATGTGATGGATGGTTTTAAAACATCACGTTATATTACTCTATCCGGGCAGCCAGTGCGGTGTTGCGTGGCCGGTCAAAGGGGATGCCAGCTATGCGAATTACATGAATACATTAAAGGAGCACTGCCTCGTACATGTTACACTGTAATGCTCACGAATAAATTTAGACCATGTTCCTTCATCGTAGCACTGAACGGCTACCATGGAGATATGGAAATTTTGAATCCGATCGATCGCTTAGCTTCAGAACTTGCCTCAATTTGATATAAAGTAAATTCGAAAAGTTCTGCCAAATGTTTGTTGACATAAACAATTCCCAAAAATACCAAGATAATATTTTTTTGTTCGCCTAATTAATTGCTATGATAAACGACGTACAAAAGCGGATGATTTTGTCAGTGCCTGGTGGGGGCGAAATTCAAATTTCTGATTATCGTTTGCCGCCGCTTCTGCTTTCCCTTCTTACGCAAACAATGGAAAAAAGGGGACATTGCTTTCAAGGCGCAAGCTAAGAACAAAACAAACGAATTTTTAATATCGTCTTTATCGATAATTGAGACTCCCTGGAAAACCTCTTATTTTGAAAAGTTTTTAGAGACTGCAAAAGAGGAATGGTGAAGGAAAATGGAATTGGAAGAAAAAACTTTTTTCATCTTCTTTGTTTGACATTGACAGTCACTAAACTTTGTATTTTTACTGTGGATCTATTTAATTTAGAATTGATTCAGCGGTATTTAATTGTCCAGTCAGCATCTGGCAGATGACTACGGCAGATATTAAAATTTTAGATTTTTCAAATCACTCGCTTATATACCTGTCTAATCTGGATTATTTGTAAAATACTGCCGTTCGACTTTCTTTATGTTAAAGCCAATATTTTTTCGGTCTGTCACAATTTAGCCGCTTTTCTTTAAGACCTTTATGTTTAATAAGTTTGGTGCAGATGTTTATGACCATTATTTAATATTTAATAATAGATAAGTTTAATAAGGTTCTGCCTTAAGTGTAGACGAATAGAAAAGAATAAAAAATAAATTAGGTACGTTGCAGGTGCATATGAAATCAAGTAAAGCCGCGAGCTACATTGCCAACCTATTATTTTGTAGTACATACAATATGCAGCAAAGTTCTTGCAAGTAAATACCGGTGGGTAGTAGGATGGGGATTGCAGGGGAACAAAGGCTAATATGTCATCGTGGCCAACTTAATTGACGCGGTTTCCGCAGCAACGCGGCGGAACGCAGACGTCAGCGTTTCCTCCGCTTACATATTTATATGGAGCGACTGCATTGCTCTCCCTCTGCCATGATATAATACATGTATTATTTTAATAACCACAAATACTAAAATTAGTTCAACCAAGTTTAATTCTAAACTATTCATGAGTCTCAAGAAAAATGAATAAATTTTGCATTAAAATTTCAATACCAATATTTCTATTTCTAAAACAGACTATCATATAAATGCAGAAAGAATTGCATGATCAAAAACACATTTTATGTATCGAATAAGTAATCCTATGCCTATCCTATAAACCTTTGAAAATAAGTATATTGGAGAAGCAAAATACATACACGTGTATTGTGTCTGATGTGTCTGTCTTGAATTTGAGTTCTACACCTTTCACTGTAGTTTATTATATAGGATTTCAATTAATAAGCTTTAATCGACCTCAAAACGGTCACCGAAATCGGAGGCATTTGTAATCACCGCGGCGTGAGTTTATACTCTTTAATGGACTTTGCAGAAGTAGTTTCAACTCTACTTACGGCTAAGATATTTGAGGAAAAACTACCCACCACCTACCGCGGTAAGTGGTGAAGTTGCCGAACTATGGCAGACGTAGAGGGTATGGGCGGCGTGGCGTTGCGCGCCCTGGCGGGCCCACTTGGCACGATTTAACGTGTTTCATTAAAACGTTTTGTCGGTGTAATCGCAAGTAATTTAAGTGAAGAGAGCCGAGCTTCCGACTTTGCAAGTATTTTGTGTTTTCTTTTTTAATTACTTCGTTTTAACTTTGTTGTCGGGCTTTTAAAAGTTGACTGACAGCCAAATAACGAAGTTCTTTATAACTATTTAGGGAGGATTTAATGAAATTGTAAACTTTTATGGCACAACACTTACCATTCGGCGGCATCGAGATATTCATATACTTTCTTTACTGTATTGGTTCTTCATAACCCTACCTATCCTGTATATCTGAGTGAACGCTTTGACTATCTTGTCCTCAGAAGTAGAAGTTGTATCACCTCATCTTTTCTTCTCCTCCGAACTCCTTCTCATAATTCAACCCGCTATGACAAGTCTTTCACTGTATCTACGGTGTGACTGTGGGATTCTCTTCCCCACTCAATACGCGATAGCCCATTCTTAAGTGTTTTTAAGAGGCGAATCAGGGAATTATTCCTGTGTCAGCAGTAACAGACTAATATATATGTGTATGTAGGTATCAGGTATTTATAGTTGCATTTGGTTATTAATGTGATGTATGAACTTGTGTTATATTATAGTTTATTTACATGATATTCGATAATTTCGTTTATATTTCTATTTTTATATATATTCAGTTGTATATTGTATTTCTGTATATTTTCGTAAATTTACTCTATACACACGACTCTTTTGTTGTGCTATCCTCTCTTCACTCTAAGGTTTGCTCGAAGAGAACTCAATTATGGGTTAGGCTCGCTTCTGTGCCCACTATTCCTTGATGTATTTGTTTTATAAATGTTTATATTATGTACGTAAAAATAAATAAATCAATAAATTGGTATATATCTATATAAATATTTAGATAGCCACATTCTATGTCATCACCTGAAAATTAACTGGTAGAGTGTGCCTAAGACTTTAAGTCCACCATACTGTGAGTGCGTAAAGAAAATATACCTATCTGACAACAACTTTAAGGCAATTCTAATTAACAAGTCAAGTTTTAGAACTTGACTTCCAATCACCAAATATTCCAATTACAAGGTTATCCTTGTGATTGGAATATTTTAATATTATATTACAAATAAAAAGCACTTTAAAATTATTTAATTAACGGTTAGCGCCATCGCCGTCTTTTCGTAATAAAAGTATATTACACGGTAAAAATGGCCTATGCCCAGCAGTGGACTGTTAAACGCTGTTGGTGATGATGACACGGTAAAAATATTCAATTAAATGAAAAACATCCATGTCTTTCTTTACATAGCAAATAAAAAATATACTTTAATAAAGACAGCACAACACAGATGATTTATATTCACCTTTTTAAGTAAAACACTGTTTAAAAGTGCAAAGTGAATATTTTATTACACTATGTTTAGACACAAATTCAGTATTTTAATACTCACGAAAATGATTTATAAATTTACACAAATAGTAAGGCCACAGTTGTTTTTCATGAATATTTATCACTATTCAACTAACATCATTTAATTCGCAACGAGAGTAATGTTGACAGCATTCCGTTTGAGGGTAAAGTATAAACATTGACGTACTGGTATCACTGAATATATTTATTTAAGAATGAATTCAGTTGACCACTCTATGTTTTTCGAAATACTCAAAAAAAAAAACTCGAAAAATTCAAAATACTTTTGGACATACATTTAAAGGTACCTACTAATTTTGATTGTTGTATTTTACTCACAATTAAATGTAAAGGCAGTAACTTCTGTATAACAAACAAGCTATGCTTGTAGAACAAGGCTGTGAATGATGTAAGCGCAGCAGGCTGTGGTTTCGGAACTTATGCGCTGTTGTAGTAGTTATGAGCCTAGCCCTCCATAAGTCACCCCTATATTCAGCACCATGACGCCAAAGGTGTACGGTTAGTTTTTATGAGAGTAATATTTTTTGGAATTAATACAATTATTGTAATATCTAACATTTTATTTTATTTTAAAAAGACAACTTCCACATTAGGAATATATCCTGTGTCGCGGGGTATTTACAAATATAGATGAGACGGACACAAAGAATACCTAGACTCAGAATAAGAATTTGTAGATCACACAAAGTGTCTTCAACAATACTCAGCGCAGAAGGAAGCGGCGAGGTGACCGCTTAACGCACTACGCCGTTCGCCATTGTTATTGACCTCTACTTTATAGATAAATTATATTGTTTTATAAACAATTCAAAGCTAATACAGAGACATTGAAATGTAACAATAGGAAATGATAATAAAATATTTGATTTATTTTTTAACTCCTCGACATAATTATGTTGAAACTGAATTACTACTATTTTAGGTTATTATCAAGTATGTACACGGTACTGCAGACGTTAAGCGTTTATCAGTGCGGTCTTTAACATTGGCAAAACTACCATACTCTGACGTTGTTATTTACAGAAATAGAACATTAGGCATGCGAGGCTGTTTGACTGCGGTTGTAGATACTGTTGTACGGTAGTGCACAAAGCTAGACTTTGAAGGATAAATACCAGTATTATACCTCACGTGTATATCGGTATATCTTAAGAGGTAACTATCGTCGTTTCTCAGTAAAACAAGAAAAGTAACATATTTATACAAGAGATTATCACCATCATCATTATCTCAGAGATAAAACGTCCTCTATTCACCTTGGCCACTTGAATAAATCTAACACAAAATCGCACTTTGTAAATCTTCGCATATTACGTCATAACGTGTTTTTAAATGATAAATTTCAATAGTCAGTAAACATAAAATATTTTAACCGATTTAACTTAAAATTATTTTATCTATTTTTCTTTACAGCCACGTCTGTATACTCTTACAAGGGAAATGTTGACGGGCCTGTGGTTAGGATCATGACTGCTAGCCACAGGTTGTGGGTTCAATTCCCACCTAGAACAAATAATTGTGTGATGAGCACGTTCATTTATTTAGAAACATATAAGTATATTTATCAGAAGTCTAGTACAGGTTCTGCCTAGTTTGGGATCAGTTGGCCTATAATTATAGGAAAGGGTGCATTTAACGTTAAATGTCTGTGTAAAATAAAGGCATTCGAGAGTGCCATTAACACTTCAACACTAATGATGTAACCATGAGACCGTGTAAAGGTAATTCGATAAACCTAGTCATAAGGAAAATAACATAGGACAACGCTGGTTATTTTGTCAAACAAAGGTTTTTATAGATTACTTATTTTATACCTATTTTACTTAATTTTTAGTGACGTAATGTCTTAGGTAAGGTATACCTGAAAAAGTAATCGTATGAAAGAAGAACATAGTAATATTTCTCAAATGTATCAAAATATTCAACATCCCATTTAACAACA